AGCTTTCGTACCCTTATTTTCCATCAGGTATCATTTATTGATCTTTCGCTTAGTATTGGGGCTTTAAAAGCCTATAATACGACATGATAAACATATAAGGGTGCATTTTATTACACGGCGTGGTGTCTCAGATGCGACACTCCCCCGTAATATGACTTTATGACCTCGACTGAGAACTGTACGTCTACGTATCTTGCAAGACGAAGCGGCGTATAAAACTTTTCATGTGAATTTTTTGTCTAATCTAGATTGACTGATAGTTCAAAATAATAACCAATTTCATTCTAATATCTTTGGACCGATCTAGATTTTTGACACAGTAACTTTACAGCTGCTCTCAAAAATAGCTTTAGAAACAAAACTCAGAAATTTAGGTCCTAAATGGACGGAGGGGCATAAAGCCTGTCTCTTGGTGCATGGTTTTTTGTCTAGACTAAGGTTTAACTGCATGCTATATTGACCTCATTCGGATGTCTGTCAGGGTCAAGATGATCACGATAACATTAGAACTCGGTTCGTTGAAGTGAGAGAATGGTAGTTTTAGTTACCTAGATGCAGACGCCAGTCAAGCTTAGGTATCCTAACCCATTTAAGCTTTATTGTTTAGTTATAAAGTAGCAATTTGGCAGTTCATTTTTTCATTTGGTTTTTTAAACATAGACAGTTACTAAAGTAAGGCAAGTGAGTGGAGTAAACTTTTGAGTTTCTAACTATTTACATGTCTGCTAATGTTCAGAGACTTTAAATGTTTATTTTTTACTTTTATCAATGTTTTGTATTTAAAATGTCAACTATTGTTCTATAATTGTGTCTACAAAACCGGTACTCGACTAGTACCAATTGTACTAATTTTAATACTTTCAAAGAGTAAGGAGGAGTTTCTTAGTCGATCTTCTACATTTTGAAATGAGTTATCTAGCTTTACGGACGGACTGACTGTCTATTATTTATTTGAGCATTACTCGAAATCCATCGAAAGTTACTTACTCGATTAACTTCGAACATCTCTCGAAAACTATCGAGTGTCCTCGATCACTTTCGAGAGTTACTCGGAAGCAATCCAGCTTTCTCGACGACTTTCGAGTCCAACAAAGGTCGTTCGTCGAGTCCTCATATAATAGTCGAATAGGGTAGTTGCCAGAAAATTAAAAATCTAAAGTCCGTCAATTAGATAATAAAAAAAATTATATACTTTTGTTCGGAGCAACGCAACCGAACAGCTCAGCTTTTATTAAAGTGCTACAAGATGTAGCACGTTGTGACGCCACACGACAAATTAATTTACCGTCGAAAGTACTTAAGTTAATTTTTAATTTGTAGGGAAAGATTTAATCTTTAATTTGTGTCTCAATGTTTTAAATTAATCTACAAGAAGGACATTAAAACAAAATTTAGGAAACTACTTTATAATATAATTAAAACACAAATTATTAACTTTCATATTCCTACAAAGACAGTCTAATGAAATCAATCAACAAGACTCAAATACAGTCATATGATAAACAGCTGATATATTATCTAATTGGCTATAACTGACTTGTTATTGCGACTAATCAGCCTCCCGTAACTTATATGCACTGATTGATTAATTGACCCACTTCAAGTACTATGCTATGAATCTATGATTCACTATTGAGAAATTGCAGAGGTCCTAATCATGTGTAAGTGTATGCAAGATGCATGCAAATTGTGTTTAATTTTCATTGGCATATGAGATCATGATTTCATGAAGATCGGTGGACTTGTGAGTAGCCTTTATTGGAAGTATTGTTTATTTTGTTAGTATGGTGTAATAATCGTTGAGGATATTGTGGAAGTTATACTATAAAATGACTATGAACTGATCAATACCACATTGCTTTCAATTTCGCATATAAAGCCATAAAGTATTAATTAATTATTTAATGTTATACCTATACTCTCTCCTTTACAACATGCATAAAAAACTATATTAGGAAAATTACCCAAAGATAAATATAAAAATAAATTTCCATATTATGTATCTCGCTCACGTATTTAAATGACTGTTAAACAGTCAACAGTCATTAAATTGAATGTTTACAACATTACCTATCAATACATTGATATCGAGTAAAAAATTAAATAAATAGTAGTGTTAACATCGAGAAACAGCTAATTTAATTTATATTTACAATAAGCAGCACAAAATTCACAATTAGTTTCACTTTTAATGTCAATTAATAAATAGTTAAATAGAACTAAAATGGAATGTGACTGCGAGACTAGCCACATTATTATCAATCAAGCAGTTCAGAAGGTCAAGGTCAAATCGATGATTCATAAAAACAACAATATTAGTTATGATTAGATCGAATACATTATATGTGATTATACAACATGGAAAATCCACCAAGACTGTCGATGGACCAGCACGGACTAAATGATAACCTATTTGGTTATTCAATATCTAAAGCATGTAGTGTACAAAACATGTCAAGGAGACTATACAACGGGTTTTGAATACTAAAACATGTGTGAACAAAATTGCCTGTTGGGTAACTGGTGACGCAGTAACATATTTTATGTATGAGCTAGTCCGTAATCACACTTACCACGTGAACATTTTGCTTGGATTTGTTGAGAATGTAAATGAGTCATGCTGTCGTTAAAATAAATAGACGCTTAGGTGACTATTGTGGACTAATTCTTAAATAAATTATTTTAGCCAAAGCAAACAGATTCGTTTTAAAATATTTCTATGTATGACTTTACTACGACTCAAAGAATCATTAGGAACTAACATGATTATAATAATATAATAATAATTTATATTTATACCAAATCATAAGAAAATCACCCTTATTTTGGCATGATAAGTAACTAAAACATTATGTACCTTTGGCCCTGCTGGTACTCTGTATTAAAACATATTTTTTATTTGGTCTTTGAAATAACAAAATTTACTTTATATTGCTATTCACAAGACTATTATAACTATTAATTGATATTCTCAATAACAGGGACCTAATAGAGAAAAACAAGTTAGTGATTCATATATTACATAGAATGATATAGGTAAGTCAGAAACAATATTATCATTAGTTGAGCGTCATTAACGCCAATACTATTTAAAAATGATAAATAAATTATATTTTATGATTATGATTCATCAACTTAACGACAAAATCAGTACATTCTTTCAATATGATTATATTAAGTAACTGTGTAAATAATAAAAAAAACAAGCAATTTATAGGTTTATGGTTGAAAACCCGAAAAGAAATTACAATTAAAAGAATGTATGTAGTGTATTCAATAATAAGTGCATGTTTTTGACCTGCAACACATTTAGAAGCAGATTATAAAAAAACCATTATAACTACGTATTTTTCTAACATTAAATTGTCATAGGCTGTTCACCATGTTAAAGTTAACTTGGTTATCAAACTCCAGAACTACATGCTCGATGTTAATAAAAAAGGAACTCTTCAATCACACACATATAATTCTTATTAGCACAATACTAATTAACAAGTTATGAGTACATAGAACTGTTTTAGCATTACCCTAAGGATCCTTGTGTGATGGTTCAATAGTTATGAATTTGCATTCCATACTTAGCATGCGACGAACTGACATTGTCTGCATAAATAAGCTGTCGGCCTGCACTGAAGTTTGTTTTAATTGTTTATGTAACATTTTCTTAGAAGTATTTTAATTATTGTATTTCCCTTAGATAAGAACACAATGATAGGACCAACCTATCATTGTGTATCCTTAGAGGAAGAGAGAAAATATAATTAAAGAAAACTTTAAAGAGATTGCATTAGTATGTACAATTCCTAATTAGTTTTCAGAAGTGGTATATGATGTTCAGAACATGAATGAATATGGTACAGATAGTAAGAAAGATTTTGTGCTCTTTACAACTGGTAGAAAGGTACACATAATTCTTTACAATATTATCTAAAAAAACCTTAAGAATTTCTTATCTATATATAGTATTCTTGTTCTTTCAAACAAGATTCTTACAAGAATGTGACATACACACAGAATTAATAATAATACACAAATAATGAATAACATAAAAGGTATGCATTCTATGACCAGGTACATACATAAAGAATAAATATAATCCAAGATATTGTGCAATATTGATTACATTCCTACTCTAGTAGATTACAAAAAGTTTACATATTTATTGGCTGTATGTGTGTTTATCAGAGCAATGTTAAATACTCTTTGGTAATAATCAAGTGGCCAGTATCAGGGATAGATAAAAAGGAAAAAGTATTGAAGGCTTTGCATCTTTAATTTTTTAAGGATACATAATCCCTTTTATAGAATTTCAAATATTATTTATTTTTTATACCGGTTATCATATTTTATGTTTTCAATGCATATTGGCATTAATAATAGCCTTTATTGAATTAAGTTTAGACTACTTCCTTAAATATAAATTGCTAAGTTTAATAAAACAAACAACATAAGATCCTAATAAGGTTTTCCTTATGTCTGCCATTAAGTAATGGGAACAATTACTAATGGGTAATAAACACTTCAATTAATTTTATTTCATTAGTGATAACTGACAATATTCCAATAATATAGGTATCTACATAATATGATATGATCTCATAAAATCAATAAAAGTAATAAATGTTGATTACAACATGCAATGTCTACATGATAATATTACACCCAGGGCCGCAAAAATCGAAGATAAATAATTGGATTCTCACAGGACAGAGTAATAACAGTGTATTAAACATTTAACGGCGATTCGATACGACCTTAGCGATGTCTTTTTGTAACGAGTATATGAACTACGAGGTGGTTTAAGCAAACAAGGCGGACCACACGCGGTCTCGGAAACCACACGTTAAAAACGCGAACGCTAGCATTCCTTATACGGCAAACTGTACATCAAATATTGCAAAACATACATTTTTATCCGATGCCCCAAATGACACGCCGTACAAAACGCCGACAAATCAATTCCGATCAATTAATTTCTGAATTAAAACCAACAAACTTACCTGCTCAAACTGCTCCCTGATCTCAGTCCTCTCCTCGTCGGTCAATTTTGAATTATCTGCCATCGTCACACAAATAAAATCACAAAAACAAGGATCACATCAACAATATACCGAGTGTTTGTAAAACGCGTTTTTTCACAGTTCACTTATGTACTACCGATGATTGTATAAAAATAAAAAAGTAATGTATAAATCACAGCACTCGAAAACTAATGTAAACGAATGAAGCGCACTTTAAAATTACTATTATACCGTACGGTCTCGCAACACGATATCATGAAGCGAGTGCAAATTATAAATACGTCAAGAAAGTCAACCGATGAACTCACCGAGCACTGCGCAGCGATTGCCTAGTGAGGGGAGAGATCAATTCTACATAGTCTATGGATATCGATGAAATCAAAAAAGTTTGTCAGTATTAAACAAAAATTTACAGTAGAAAGTTGGACATAGAACAAAAACCATTATAATATAATGATAAAAACAGGAGAATAGGGTGAAATAAAACGGCCATCTGAAACTAGGTATGCAAATAAGTTAGTTACAAAAACCAAAACAAATAAACACCCTAATTTTGGTTTTTTTCACATTTTTGAAACAGTTACTTTGTATTGTTTTGTAAGAATTTATGTGTTCGTTATTCAGTATAAACATGTATTATAAATAACTAAATAAATAAGTTGAACATAACAAGCCTTAGCCTCGTAATTTTTGAAAACATGACATTATTACAATTTTCTTTTATACACAGTGAAGTATATAATATGTTAGTTATTAGCTTCATTCACAAGTATTCAAAAAAAAGTTTACTGTTCTTTCAGCACAAAAAATAATATTAACACTCTATTAAAATCGATAATAGCATAGTATCGATATATCACATCACCAAAGTTGGCGTTGCTATTTCATCTAAAGTTGCCAGATATAGAACTTTGCAGAGAAGATGGAAAAACCAGTTTATTATTTTAATCAAAATTATTTTAATTACTGTAACAATAATCTGTACGTAATATTATTTTATTCTCAAGCCACGATACTAAAATTAATAGACAAAATAATTTATAGATTTTTACGAATCTTAAAAGACTCGTTATCCACATAGAAAAATAAACCAAAATGTTGAGATTGTTGCCATCTATTGGTGAATTATTTGAACAAAAATAAACTTTTTTGTTTTACTATTGAACACGAGATGGCACTGTTACCATTTTTCCAGAAGATTCTATAAGTAAATTTCGTTCACCAACCACGTCGGGAATCGTCTAGTAAGTTTAGTCAGAGGTTCCCAACTAATGGGTCACAAATATTTTTATTTCAACACACTGCAAACAAATGCGGTATATTGTTTTACATTACGAAAATAATTATAATGGTTAGTTAGCGTTTATCACAAGAAACACTTACAAAGTATTAGTTATTAGTCAATGGCCTAGTTACCTATCTATTATCCGGAACTCTTATAACTGAAATTAATTACAGAACACAATCCAAAATTTGTGAAATGAGGTAGTTTTTTCTAATTTAGATTAAGATTGGTTTTTATTTTAGCTGTGAGACGACAACGACATGGCAGCTGCAATTTACTACGTTATCTACATCTGTTTATTCTTACGGTGGACGGATTAAGGCTAGTAATTTTTAATTATTAAATTAGAAAGGTTGATAAATAATGAAATACGTTAAAAATACCCGACTGCACACTAAAAAAAGAGTAAAACAAGCCCCACAATAATATTGATCAATCAAATGCTAAAAACTAATTATGTAATACCGTT